CACCATACCATCGAGATGCTAAGATGCTGAGAGCTCTTTCACACTACGACCCCTCCACTATCACGCCTCTCGCATCTACGCCCTTGCCTCCCCAAGATCCGTCTTGCAGAAAAGGATGGGTGTTACAATTCCGATCAGTTATCAGAAAGTATAATAAGACGTGCGACACCCTACCCTCAATTGACGGTGCGATACCGTCAATTGAGGGTAGGGTGTCGCACACCTGGATTTTCGACAATGGAAAAAATAACGACCAGCAAATTGTTCGTCCTTCAGAATCCGATCCTATACCAAACGTGGATTCCGCGGAAAAAGGATGTCACCCTCATTGCCTTCCTTTGCCCGCTCATCTAGAAGCACTGTCCATATTGAAAGGTGGGGCAGAGCTGGCATATGGGAGAAAAAGCTTCATATGAATTGATTTTGCCCAGCCTCCAATTGTTAGGAGTCAGCAATCCGTCTCGTATCTGATCCTTTGCAGATATTCTGGCTCTCCAAAGACCCTGAAGATGAGCACGGCCCCTATTGTAACACAGAGCAACTATGACACGTTCTCTCTTTCGTGCGCGTGGAAAAATACCTTTGTGGCACATGCCTTCCCTAGGCGCACCAGGCTTGTACTCGGAAATAACTTTTATTTCAATATGCACTCAAAGGTCTTACCGGAGTGCCCTCAACAGCTCCTCCTGTCACAGGATACTCCCAGTCCAAGTCGACCCCATCGAATCCGTATTTCGAAATGATGTCTATGATATTGTTAATCACAATTGTTCTGAAACAGCAGAACTGGTAAAGATTTCTTCTTTCCTGTGCTCGTAGGCAATAGCTCATACCAGGTCTAAGAATTTGAGCAAACCACGCAAACTGGGGACACAAACCTTCGAGGATGATCGGCTGTGAGCAACGAAAAGTACTGGGAGTTCTCCCAGCCTCCAACAGCAAACAGGACTTTCAGATGAGGATGTTGGCGTGCTTTCTTAATGTGAATGGCACTCATTACGAACATTCATTTGTTAGTAAACCTAAGTATAAAATAGCGAAACAGGTTACCAGTCCTCTGAGCAGATCCTTTCTGTGAGACTAACTCTACACCTATGCTATTATCGCTATTCCATAGCAAATCAGAAGGTTAAAAGCGTACCGCCAGAATGCTATTCAAGCCGCTGCTGAGCCGCATCTCCCGGCAAATGAATTAGTCCGTCCGACTCCATCGTGAAAAACGCAAATACTCATATCGTTCAGGGACCTTTGCTGCCTGAATACGTTCAATTCTTCTTCAAATCACCTAAAATAAAATGTCATTTCGCCCATTTCTCGTGCCAAAATTACTATAGGCAACTGATAAAACACAGTGAGTTGTCACATTTGGCTCTTCTACCAGTTCCCCAATTTAGGGCATCAGTGCCTGTTAATTATCAACCTTAACCTACCGTTGATGTAACCCCTCAGATAACTTGCCAGGTTCAGCATTCTACATACTTGCCGCGTGCAATGAATGGTCATAGTGCTTGAAGATACATCGTATCGTGACTGCGGACAGCTGGCGTCGATCTAGGTTCAGTATGAGTGTGATACTAGCAACATGTTATGACCAGTATATATTCTACCGTATAATTTCGTATTTACTTCGTCATTCTTTCCGCACATTTTGTTCGCATGCGTCCTTCAATTCAAGGATGCAGATGAACAGCTATTCCGACGTGTTACACAACACGTCATTACTTGTCTGAAACTCGCCACCGTCCTTAGCGTACTGAAAACCTTATGAACGGGACAGTAACTATCATTTGTGAAAGGTAAATAACAGCTTGTCCATGGGTGTAAAAGGATAGTCGCTTCTTGTAACTTAACGTATTTCTTACTACCCATGTCTTCCCAGAGGTAAAACTAATGCGTTCTCAGCTCTTTCTCGCCCAAAAGAACATTATGCGAAACGGAAGCTGAGCTTGCTTTTTGCTGCCAAATCCCAATTCTTTTCAGTTTTCCAATTGCTTCTCTCTTCCAACAATTTTTCTTGGCCCTGGAGACTCCTGATTACTTTAAAGACAAGCCCGGCTTCAGCCGGCTTGTGGGCGTCCTTCACTGTTCAAGCAGTCTAGTCTGTAGTCCCCAAGATTATCCCTTGTTCATGGCTTCACAGCAAGTAACAAAGGCGGCGGCAGTCTCTGCTGGCATAAAACGAGTAGTTCCTGAAAACTCATACAGTGAGAGTGTCAGGAGGTCCTTGCTCAGGTGCTTCCACGACTTTTTTTTCTTTTCTTCACTGCAGATTCACTTGGCGACTACAGATTTCCAATTGAACGCCACTATTCACGAGGTGCGATCGCGGAACTTGTCTTTAAATGGCTCAAACTAAACTTTTCACGGCTGAGCTTCCGTTTCTTCATTCTTTGCGATAAAGGTCTATTTGTAAATGGGAGATCATATGTGATGCAATTGATTGCGGCGTTGAGCAGGCCTGCACTTCTTTCCACTCTTTTCTAGATCCTGTAATGTTTTTGTTGTGCTTGCACAATTCATTTCCATTGATCTGCGAATCATTGCACTATCTAAAAGATGGAGAGCGTTAACCCCTTTGTCAGCTCCTTATGTATTACCATGAAAACCCCACCTTTTCTCTAATCTACAATTCAGTCTGCTTGCTCGCACGACTTAGAGCCGAGA